TGTCGCTGAAGAGTACAAACTATGGAGGGCCTCACTATGCAGTTTTCACCAGCCTCTTTCCATACAATAAAACACAAAGTTAATATTTACATTTTCAGATAGGAAGTAGGAAGGCAAAACATTCTGTACTCCATGGTAGAAAGTCTTCCCTGGATTTAGCTCTTAATTTCTTTGAGAATGAAATTCTGATGGATTACTATCAGAACCAAAAATATTAACTATGCTACATTTTCAAAGTATTCAGATGTTGCGTCCTGAAAGATCCTTTAGGGCAAACATATTTTATATAAGTCATTAGAATACTTTGTGGAACAAAAACAATTCTGAACTACGTTTTGCAAATTAAATCATTTTGTCTGTGGTAAGATTTGAACTCAGAACCTTAAAATCAGAAAGATGAACAAAATGTTCCGGCAAAATAAAAGAAATACCTTCTTCCTTCTCACTTCTATTCTTGCTAACGCACAAACAATACAGCGATAAACTGAATGACAATACTGATGATTACTTTTTGCTTATTGATAAAGAGTCGCTGAACATAACAATTTGCATATATTGGTATACATTTCCAGCCTCTTTTTGTATGAGTTCCATACAGAAGCTATGAAACACATTCATTTAAATAATATAACAAGAGCACAATTTTAATGAGCAGGCCAATTTATGAAAATACAACATACACATTAAAAATGTAACATACAATTGGATTCAACCTTACGAAAGTTGTCTTCACTTCAACGCCAGTTGCCTACTATGCTGATTGGTCTAGAAGGGAACATGAGCAACCAACCAAAGGAGAGTTTTCACCTCTGTTTTGCTTTGACAGGACTCAGAAAAATCAGAAACATTACTTCGCGCTTTTCTTCAGTTACGTAGACACAGGTGTCCTTGTTCAACACACATCTAGCATGCATCATTTTAATTAATGGAAGGCAAATAAGTACACAGTTATTATGAATGACTGGACTTATGATGCCAGCCTGCTTAGATCACTTCAGTTTAGGACTTAGAAAATTTCGGGTGCTTATTTTTGTTGTACAGAGTACATCTTTGGGGTCATGAACAAGGGTGGCTCGGATAAAAATGTCTGAACTGGTCAAACTATTTCCTACACTACAACGGCTTATGGTGTGAGGTTTTCACAGCTCTGTGGGTGGTTGTGCTCCGTAGTCTTCTGCCTGAATACCAACATTTTTAAGAAACATACTACATTCTCTTTCAGCAGATGGGTGCAATCTAAATCAAGTCTACTGAACCGTCTTCTGTATTAATTTTTGTATCTCATATCACCTATCTCACCCTCTAGTGTCATGACGTTCCTCAGTATGTTTCTAAAGGGCGATTGGAAGAACACTTTATTCACTATTAATACTGATACAATTAGGCCCATAGGTGACCAAATCACACGTTCGGATGCACCAAGTAACCGCTAAAGTGTGACGAAGCTTAACATTGCTACAGAACGAAAGATGGTTGGGTTCCAGTGCCACTCTTTACTCAGCACCCACACAAATGGGCTGTTCCAAGGGCAAGTTTTGTAAACTACTGCTTATGTACATTCAGATATTATTAATAATATGAACCTTTGTCAATTCTTACTTTCGACACACATTATATGACTATTTTTGTGATAAAAAAAATACACACTGATATGTTGACAAAAAAATGCAGGTTTTTGGGTTCCCTGCAACATATATTTACCTCGTATTACAATTAACCACACCTATAATTTGGTGAGAGTAAAACTGTGAGGCCCACTCCAGATGTACCTCAATGTCGTCATCAGACAGACTATAGGATTCATGTTCAAATGAATTGCAATAAATTCCCAGCATAACACACTTCTGCGGGCTCAAAATTATATTCATAATAAAATTTAATTATAATCAAAAGCTATAAAAATGAATTAAAAATGCAACATTTATTGTTTTTACAGGGTTCCCAAGTTCGAGGTTGCCACTGCGTGCTTCTCAAGCAATTCAAAATTTCCGCAGTTTCTGTGCGCAAACCGTCACTAATTATCGCCCAAACACCTTCACTCTTACTTTATCCTTACCAGAAAGACGACTGGGCATTGCCTCAGAACCTTCTAACTACAAGATGATCTTTCTCCCCCCCCAGAAATCGAAGTGTCTCTCACTTCTCCCCCACCAATTTTCTCTTTGGTCCTACTCTTCTGTTATCCTTCTTATCTCTCACTTTTTTCATGTTAACGTAAATTATCCTTCACCTTCAACTTCTACCTACGCTAACATCAAACTATCCATGTGTCACAGTAGTATTTTGGTAAAACATTTAACGCCATTAAAATCCAGAATGAAGCCCCATAGTAAGGGGGTTAAATTCACATACAGAAAATATTTTAATTATATCTGTTACGGACACCATGCCACTGCAGTACACCCAGACGCTAGATTTTCACTGTCATTTCAAATCAAACCACCCACTAACAATTGGAGCCACTTACCTATCACTTTTTCACTGTCTGACGTTTGCAAAAAGATTATCACTAATTTTTTTTTTTAAAACTGTCAGTAATTCTATTTCTGAAAGACTTTCATCGACACAATCAAAAATTTACAATGATTGCCATCACTATATTCTGCGCCACGATGCATACTGAGGGAATTACTGAAGCTGAAAAGGCTTCAGTGCCAAAATTTTGTCATCAGAATATTTTCTTCTTACAGTTCACTTAATTAATATCCAAGACTATAGTATATGGAGAGATGTACATGCTCGTCTAGCGCATATTTAACAAAGTATCTGAGAGGAACAGCTGTGTTTCTTAATTCTGAAACATCTTACAGTGAGAGTACTGGGTTTGTTCAGGAAGAGTTAACACATTCTAAATAATAATTTAGAAAAATATCTTGTAATGTGGGGATGTTTTTACTGAGCCATATTGAAGTTTCATTACACCAATATTCCTTATTGTGAAACTCTTATCCATAGGAGCGCATGAATAATAGTGTTATGTTTATATCTTCAGGTTTCTGTTCGGTCGGTGTGCACGACTTGTAGTTAATTGAATACAATTTTTAATGAGGCTCCACAGGCTGCGTTACTTCAAAATAGCCCGTCCAGTCCCAGAGTAAGAATAAATGCCCACCTCTAGGTTAAGGACTCTTGAAACAAAAACGAGTTTCATGACTGCAGAATGTAAACAATTCACACGTCATGTGACATCACACGTACGAC